AAAGTGTGACAAGAAATCTGCCACCTGCTGGGGAAGTGTTGAACTACTGCTAAGACTTTTGGAAGTTTCATTAAAGATCAGTGACATATTCCTCAATTTAAAAAATATTATTTAAAAATACATGTACTTTAATTATTGAATAAATTTAAGTTATATAAGAAATGACCACTGAGTATTTAAAACTAAGTTTATTCCTTTTTCCTAATTGCTTAAAAGACTGATTTTACCAAAGTGGTATTTTGCCAGGTGACCCAGTAAAAAACATGTCTGACTAGTGGGGATTTACCAAACCATGTACATTTTTATGTAGTTCAGCTCTGTGTGCATTTATATTTTCTTATTCACAAAATGCATTTAAAATTAGATAAAGGAAAGGGATGCATGCTTGTCTCTGAATTTTTTAAAAAAGTAATCCCATTTATACCTTATCTGTTGTAAAATGGAAGGTAGTGTTGCACTATAATGCTACTTTATCTTAAATTATGTTTTAATCTTATGCTCTATTTGTAATTTTGAATATTTATAATTTTTATTTCATAAAACATTTGTAGGCTTATGGGGTATGTGCATTTTTTTTAAAGAACTGTCTACTTTTATAGAAACTAAGAATGTAAACTTTGTTTTCCTGTATTATTAATAGGAGAATAGGTATAGTCAGTGTTCAGAAAATATCCCACTGTTCTAGAACCATGGCATCTGGGGCTGGAAGAGAGTCCAGTGTCATTAGAACCCCACCCCTGAAGTGACTAATGTAACAGGGCGGAGGTGAGCGTGGGAAATGATGATTATTTTAAAAAGCTCCCCAGGTGATTCTGTTGATAAGTGACGTTTGGGGAACATCCAGTAAGCAGCGGTTCTCAACCTGTGGGTCGCGACCCCTTTGGCGGTCGAACGACCCTTTCACAGGGGTCGCCTAAGACCATCCTGCATATCAGATATTTACATTACGATTCATAACAGTAGCAACATTACAGTTATGAAGTAGCAACGAAAATAATTTTATGGTTGGGTCACAACATGAGGAACTGTATTTAAAGGGCCAGAAGGTTGAGAACCACTGCGAGTAGAGTTTAGCCCCAAGCCAGTGTACCAGCCCCCCTTACAAGGCCCTGTAGTAGAGCCTCAGGCCATCTCTGAACCCTCCAGGCCAATAGATACAGGGTGGTCCATCTTTGGACAATTCTGTAGAGTTAGGTCCCCAGTGAGCCAGAGCTGTCTATTGGCAGTTTCTACTCTTGCTCCTTTGAGCTCTTCTAAACAAGTCTAGTTCTTTTCTATTTGACAGCCCAGCCCAGAGTATTTGCAAATAAGTTCTCTGTTCCCAGTAGCTTTGTTCATTGCTAATAAGAGATCACAAGACCTCTCCCTCTCCTGGCCACCCTCCCTTTGTTATGTGTTTGTATTTGTCTATGATAAAATGGAGTGTTCCAGATATGGCCTACCTGATGGAACTAGAATGTTCCTGTGATTTCCAGGGATCCAAAGGGATGCTATCAAAGGCCTCATGGGTAACTTGGCCTGAGGTGACCAACTCTATGTACTCTCTGTCTCATTCCTGTGGAGTCAGGAGTAACATCTGAGCTTGATGAGAGGTAAGAAATTCTGAGTTCATGGTTTAGTGTTTTGCACACAAGCCCCAACTGCAAGATGGTACTTTTTTCCCCTTTATTGTCAGCCTGTTTTCCGCTTTTGTAAGAATCCTGCAGAAAGAATGGGCTAGGCAGACACCTGATTCCCATGCTTATTACGATCACGTCCAATTTGCTAGATTCTATATTTCATAGAGCAGAAGCTGAAATTGCAGAATATAAGTCTTGATCACTCCCTTCCCAGCTTGTCATTTGAGTGGCTAAATTTACGTGTCTCATTTCCACATGGCTGATACCTTATATCTGAAAATCTAGATTTATAAATATTCGATTTATAAATATTCTATAGGGAGCTTCCTCTTTGTTCTCCTGTAAGTCCTTATTGTCTTCAGACTAAGGCCAGTTGTTCATATATTGCAAAGATATGATTAAGAATTTGCAAACTTTGAGCTTTCTGGGAAAGGTCTATATAAGCATTCTAGCTGTCCTTTAATTTTAGGATATGCAGAATATAGAGAAGAAAGCTTCTTTTGTTGTTAGAAATTTGATTGAGATAATAGTGTGTGTGTCCCCTTTAAAGACTTTAACAGAAATGTACAAATCTATAATAATAAAAGCATAATATGCTAATTGGACTGGATGTCCTGGATAAAGCCGTGGCTGCGAGGGAAGCCAGTGCCGGCAGCCGGGGGAAGGAAGGCCTACTCTTGCACGAATTTTGTACATTGGGTCTCTAGTTATAGTATAAAAGGGAAAGTCTTCAAACAAAGCCAATTTAAGAGATTTTAATTGTATTGAAGTTGAAGAACCATCTACTTGAACGCCTAGCTGTCCCTAAGACTTTTGGAAATTAAGAGATTTTAGCCATTTCTGCATTTGGTGCTCTGATCTTCCTTAGCTTGTGTACAGGAGCCCTTGTAATCACTGATTATGTGTGAAATAAAGTGGGAAAATAGACTTCTCCAAAAGACTAAAAATTAATCAAAAGCAAAAATGTACTGATTTTGACCATAAATATTTTTATTAAATGTGAAAATACAAGGGCATAAAAATAGTACCCATATGTGTAGACATGTCTGAGACCCATTTCAATTAATTTTCAGTTTCTTTATTAAAACACTAAACTGAGATGGATTAAGTTACTTAGTCTTCTCATTCAAACCCAACTATACAGTCATACAGGAGTACTATCTTAACTCCCCAAACATCTCCAGTTTTTACACTCTCCATACTCTGCTTTCCACTGCAGGTAAGAGGTTCAACCACAGATGATTGCAACAAAACCTGTCAACTATACACAAGCCACGCAGTGGCTAATTTTACTCTTAAATCATTCAACAAATGAGATCATTCATAAAAAAAAAAGTATCCCCATCTATTGACATAATTTGCAATTACAGAATAAACTCTGCTACTTCAAAAGGAATAATCTGATTTAGAATAAGGATATTATGCATTGACAAGTTAGCATTTGCCTTCTTTCTTCCTTTCTTCTTTTAAATATGGAAAAGTAAATTACATTCCACAAAGTTGCATGGATCTCTCTTGGTTATACTATTGATGTTTACTCAACAAAAAATCTTTGCAAGGCCTGTTACCAGTGCCCTGTACCCTTAAGGCAGTTGGCTCTAACAAATACCTGAGGAACCATTTTTAACTTAGGCATCTCATGCATTTTTTTCATGGTAAACCTCACAATTTTTGACCAACTTCATGCCTTTAAAGGTGAATCTTTCATTTTTCCACCATGAATAGAAAATGCCAGTTTTAAATTGTGATTCTATTAACTTTTTTCCTACTCAGTTATCAGTATTTTTCTCTTTAAAATTTTGTGGATTATTTGCATTCTATTATCAAAGTCCCAAAGAAGTTCTGTTTCCATATTGATATTTAGAATAAAGTTTTAAAACTGATTAAAGAGAAAGACGTTTTAAAATTAGTAGTTATATCCAATTCACATCAGTAAACTATTGAAGTTGTTCTCAAGTTTTCATTTATGCAGTAAGCAAGCATGAACTTTCAGAAGTGGGCAATAAATTTTCAGAACTTTTTCACATTTATAGGCTGATGTGTTTAATACTTGCTGCTGTGGAAAAGATCCACAGTGTACAGACCAGAAATACTTCACTTGTGGAGATCTCCAAAAGGGAGGCCTTAAGAAGGGAATATAACACAGGTGAGGTGACGGGCCCCTGTGCATTCACTTTCCCAGAAAGAGCCATGAAGGTTACCGGACACTGCAGTCTCCAGAGACTCGAGAGTGGTAAGTGCGAGTAGCCCCCAAACCAGTCGAATGCTTCCTCAGTCGTCGCCTTCCACTGCACAGCGATCTCCAGGCCGGCAAGGAGACTCGCTGTCCTCCACACACCCATGTTTTCCTCAGTCATGTAAGGGAACATCGAGTGACCGTCTTTCCCTTCAGGTGGATACCAGAAGACTGCTGATGCCCATCCAGGCTGGAACGTAAAGGTCACTGTTTTCTTCATTAATCAGCAAAACGAATTCCAAAGAATTAATTTCTCTCAGTGGCGTTGGCACTTGGCATCATAGATTTTACTCTTCACTGAAAACAGGCAAATAACTCTGCACATTTCAGTACGATGACTAAATTAAGTCTATGGTAAGACTTTATAAACAGGAATTATGGTTATTACAAGTGGAGAAAAAATAATGTAAACAACCCAATGGGCAGCAATTGGCAGGCAGCGAGGTAACCTATGTCCCAGATGCATTTCCCATGTGGCCCAGCTCTCAAACCTCCTGACTTTTCATCCTCCCCTCTCAATAGAAGGGCAAGTAATTTAATATTTCCTTTGTTCTCCTTGTGTATGAAAATCCTCTTCTTGAAAGTAAATAGAGGCCTTTGCTAGATTTCAAAGAGGTCACAGTGACATCATGTACGAAAGAACCAGATTGAAAAAAATCTCTGATATAATTAAGTAATGCGATTACTGAAATTAAATAAACAAGGAATTTCCTTTGGGAATTATTTTCACATTAGCTTGAAATTTGAGACATTAAAACAAAATGAAAGCTGCAAGATGTTCACTAGTTTTCAAAATGCATTGTTAAGTTTATTGGTAAGAAATAGACTTCAAAATAGATGCAAAAAGCACTTACGTGTTTTACCCAACTCAACTATGTGATTTTTGTCTCCTAGTTAAGAAAATTTTTCCACATATGTTTCAGGATGACTGTGGAAGAAAATGATTTGTGCTTGGCTGTTGTGGACATTACTGGTCAGGATGCCTTCTAGAACTAAAATTAAAATGCTTGATTTCATAAAAACATTATCAGACTCGTATTGCTTAAAATGCTTCAACATGCTTTGAGGCAAATAGAAAAACCTTTCCAGAGTAAAGGTACTAATTCTTATCTAAAGTAATTCTCTTAGATTTTAAATGCAGTATCAATAGTTCCATAAATATTTAATATTCTTGATTAAAGTAACACTCATTTTTTTTAGGGGAAAAAATATCAAATAAACAAAGATTGAATAGTTCATTTCTTCAAAGGTAAGAAGAAAGAATCCCAAGAAGAGATGCCATCTTGATAGTGGAAATATAGCCAGAGCTGACTACATTTGTAAGCCTGCAGGCAGGAGACCATGTAGTGGCATCCAGGTCTGGTGAAGGGGTGGGTCTGCTGTTTCATGCCCACTTGAAACAGGCCCCATGTGGGCGTTACTACAGTCCAAGCGGGTCTGCCAGGAGGTAAGAGAACCTGCCCCACTGTATGGATTAAAGGTGGGGAAGAGGGCATTCTGTTGATGTTAACTGAGTAACTTTACATTTCTATGACAATCCTGTTATAGGAAATGGTTTAACTCTCAATTTCAGTTGTTGAAGTAGTTCACTCTGCATCTCAGCAAATTTATTTTACATAAAACCACTGCTATCTTATCTGAACCTATTTTATGCATAACTTTTAAGTTAATATGTTATGTTTCATGTTAAATAAAAGGCCCATAGGTTTTACAATTAATTCTATGTCAGTGGTTTTTAGTATTCTCTTGCAGAGATACTCAACAACAAAATACAAAGTATATGCTTACCATCAATCCAAAGTATAAGCCTGGCTACATTGACTACCATTTGGGTAGCAGGTTCTCTAATTCATGAGCTCAAGTTCCCTTCCTTCCCCCCAGTGTCAGCCGTGTTCATGCTGGTGGGGGATGGAAATGCATGTGGATTAAAGGAGGCTCTGTAATTTAACAATATTTGCAAGTGACTGTATTGACCAAAATCTAAACAAAATTGTCCCTAAGAACAAATAGCTCAAAATGTTAATATTCTCTTTAAGAATACTGAAATATAACCCATTCTCATGAAGGTTACGTACAGCTCCTTCTTATACACATAGGCACTGACATACTATGCAAGGCTGTGAAGAAAATCATTTCTACATGCTGCAGCATAGAAAAACACAGACCAGGTGAGCCTGCCTCAGACCACTTCCCCAGACATTCCTCAGCTCCCGGCCATTACAAACCCATCCACCTCAAGTCTAAAATGGAGAAGAACAGATTTTTCTTATTAAAACAACTCTTTGGTCATGGACAAACTAAAATATTTGAATTTTTTTTTTCTTTAGGATCCTGGAACAAGGTTTTTTTTTTTAATCTTTAAAAAAATGTAAGGAATAAGAGAGAGAGGAAAAAAAAACAGCTGGTTTAATTGAAGTGGAACTTAAATCGAAAAGGTCCGCCTGAGCTGAAGGGATTGAACCCTTGCCATGAGTTCCAGCTTCTGTGGAAAGGGTTGCCACCACCTCCTTGTTGGCTCTCTGCATCCAGAGGGTCTTCTCCATCATCAAACTTCTTCCTCATTTCTAGAAAAGAAACCAGCAGAGTAAGACTCAGGTATGGACTAAGATGTGCAGAAGGGGGTGGACTGAGGGACTACTTACTTTTCAGTTATTACAACAGGTATGCCTGACACTCAAAAACAGGCTCTCCTAGATCAGAGGTTTGGTCTCAGGAAAACAGACAAGAGAAACACCAGTCACAGAGAAGGCGCGAGGGCCAGGGTTGAAAATGATATAATTGAAAATCAGACCCCCTAAATCTCTCCTCACAAGAAGCCACCCAAGGAGATGCTTCTCTGGAAAAAATTAGTAACTGCAGAGAAAGCGGCCTCCAGAACAGCCCTGTCACCATCCTGAGCCCAACAAGGAAGTGAGCCTGGCACAAGCTGTCTAAAGCCTCACTATTAAATAATGTGAATTTCTTCAGAAATGAGGGGAACGAGGCCACCTCCACGGCTGTGCCTGTCAGTGCCGAGGAAAGTCCCTGATGAGCCAGAGACCAGTGCAGGCAAATGGGAGAAAGGAACACTGCAGGTGGCAGGAGAGCAAGCTCATCCTCAGAGATTAGAGAAAGCCATTTCATCCTGAAAATAAGAACGGGGGCTAAGAAAAGGGAACCAAGAAAAAAAAGAACTCATAGTAATTAAAAATGCAGTTTTTTTCTCCATGGGCACCTCTGTGACTGCCAGCCCAGCTCCCGTGGAGCTCAGCTACGGAGCCCCCCACCTGTGCACTGTGCAAGCCAGGGACAGAGCCACTCCAGGGAGGTGGTAGACCCTCCTCTGTGGAACAGAACCGCCATGGTATGGAGCCTACTGCACTCGTTAAGTACACTCTGTCTCCTAGGCTTGATGATAAATTAAGAACAAAAAATTGTTTCACTTCAGGTGCATAGTGTAAGTGAGGTGTTCAAGAAAGATTTGTCAAATAGGCATACAACTTGATTTCCTTCTATTTTTTCCTTAATTTGTCTAGCTCAAGCCGTAGCTTCTGTTCCCACTGACACGGAAAGGCACAAGAATCAGTAGATACTAGCTTAACATTACGTTCCCCTTGGAAATGTCAGTGTTGTTCAAAAATACCTAAATTCTTCTTTCACTCTTATTTCCCAGGCCATTTTGGCGTGTGTTAAAGAACACTTATAGCAGCCAGTAAATCAAATGAACATCTGATTTAGGACAACATTCCTGGGGAGCACACACTGGCAGGCAGCTTCTCTCCCACCACTGCACAGTCCAGCCTGGTTTCCTTATCAAGCTTCTGTCAGTTTGGTATGAAGAATTCATCCCTGAGCTATGAAACTGGGCGAAACCTAAGAAATCCCCCTCACTGTTGTGCTTCCATATCACAGGTGAAAAAAAAAACAGGAATGTCAAATTCAGGCTTTTTCATTCCCCTGCACCGAGAATATGTGGGTCCCTGAGTCTGACGGGGCAGGCATGAAACTGGACTTCTGAAACTGCAAGCCCACACTAGTCACCAGCCTTGAAGTGAGCCCAGAGCTGCCTCCCATCCATTCTGACACCACCTCTATGACAGGCAATGGAAGAGGGAGGCTAAGTCACCGACAGCCATTTCAAAAGAATAGAAAATGTTAAAGGCAAGTGCTACCTGGATCAGAGAGGACTTCTTTAGCAGCTGCAATGTCGATGAATTTTTTCTCAGCTTTTTTCTTTTCTTCTTCATTCTGGAAGTTATCTGGGTGCCACTGCATTGCTAATTTTCGGTATGCTTTAATGATTTCTTGCTTTTTGGCATTTCTGAGGGGTATTAAAATTTATTAATAATCATTAGTTAAGAAGTACCCAACACTTCTGGATTAGTTTACTTAATAAGAACAATTACCTAAAAAAATGATGTTTGTTCAAGGAAGGTTTTCTTTTTTTTTTTTTTTTTTTTTAAAAAATTTTTTTTTTATATTTTTCCACTGGGGATGTGCCCGCAACCAAGGCACATGCCCCTGACCGGAACTGAACCCGGGACCCTTGAGTCCGCAGGCCGATGCTCTATCCACTGAGCCAAACCGGTTCTGGCCAAGGAAGGTTTTCTTATTCAAAAGTACATATTGAGTAAATTAAATATCTTAGTACCTACAAGTTGATTCTTAAAATGCCACTTTATTTATAGGCCTAGATAACGTTTTCCTTTCCCCAATCCCCTCTCTCCCTCCTATCCCCACCAAAAAAAAAATCTCACTCCTAACTCATTACCTTTAAGATATATAGGCCTAGCCTAGCCAGTGTGGCTCCGTGGTTTAGCATCAACCTATGAACCAGGAGGTCACAGTTTAATTCCTGGTCAGGGCACATGCCCAAGTTGCGGGCTTGATCCCAAGTGTGGGGGCGTGCAAGAGGCAGCTGATCAATGATTCTCTCATTGATATTTCTCTCTCCCCCTCTCTCCCTTCCTCTCTTAAATCAAATAAAAAAATAGTATTTTTTAAAAAGGAAATCTAGGCCTAGGATCTATTCATGCTACAGCGTCATATCTTTGTCACCAACTACTAATTCTCCATTATTGCATTACTAGTCTACATCATCCAAGAAAACTGTAATATATTCAAAATAGTTTTATGTTGTTAGGCTATTAGGAAAGGAAAGGAATCCGAGAAAGAGGAGCAATGATTAGCTTTAAAACGAATAAAAATAAAAATGCAAATTTTAAATAATTCACCTTTTTACTCCCAAGATTTTATAATAATCTCTTTTCTGTGACTGTTTCAATAGTCTTTGTGCTTTCTCTAGACCTTCCCGAATCTGCTGGTCATTTTCATTGTGTTCCTGAGCAGTTTCATAATCCTGAATAGCTGTCAAAATATGTTTAAGATAATGCTGTTAAGAAGAATTACAATTTATAACACCTTTACTTATCCTGCAAAATTAACACTGAAGTCACCATCTCCCCCCCAATCTTTTCACTCTTTTGCCATTACTGCTAAGAGCCTAAGAAGTGGTAACCTTAGTAATTTTGTTCACAAACTTACAAAAGACATAATTAAGGAATAATTTAGTAGCTTATTACTCCCAGTCAATAAAATTCACTGCTGTTTGTATACTTTCCCTCCCACATTATCTTACCCATACCTTTTAGCCTTGTAGATATTTTAAACATCAGCACTTTAAACAAAGCAATCTTACCATCAGTAAGATTAAAGTGATTGTTACACAGGAAAACAAGACAGTGGCAAAGAAAATCTGCTTGGTCAGCTACTGGGTCCACAGTACAGAAGAATTAGAGGCTTAGAAAGGGAGCAAGAGGAACCATCAGCAATCAGAATTACTAAGTCACCCACAGATTTCAACATAAACTATTACAACCTGATTTTTTTTTTTAAGTATCAATCAAAATAGAAACCCACATACAGACCTTGTATGGGAGGTCTGATAATCCTTATTGTATCCTTTCTTTTAGCTTTAAAATATTTTAAAAAACAGGCATTTATCTGGATACCTAATGTCATGCAGAAAGGAGTATCCTTAGAACGGTTGGCCCCTGGCAGCCATCTGGAAAGTTGAATTTCAGGAGTGTTCCCAACATTCCCTGGTAAGACTGGCTCACCATGCCGAAAGTATCTGTATAAACAACTGTGATTTATACGAAACGTCTTATTTCCTTCTGGAAGGCTAGAATTTGGGTATGAACTAGGCAGCCCCCTGGTAGACAGCACTTCACACTTGTTGAGGAATTAGCTGGTGCTGTATGATTTCACAGAGAGACGCTTTGAATCTTTCACCTGGTTCCCTCTGAATTTTGCCCCATGAGCCTTTCCCTGGTCTTACTTAGTATCCTTTCACTGGACTAAATCTTGGTCCTCAGTACAACTACATACTGAGTCCCATGTGTCCTCCTCCTGAATCATCAAATCTGGGGGTGGTCTTGGGAAGCTCCAACACAAATTTTTCCCAGTGTTCTCCCTGGACAGACATCTCAAATAATAGATTGTTGGTTTCAAATTCTAGTTTTTATGGAAATACATTTCATTGTGAAAAAAGACAACTCTCTGGATAACTTGCCAGGATAGATAATCCTGGAAGGGGTTTAACCTTGGGCAAGGTTAAAATGAGAAAGATATTCAAATTTACAAGCCTGAACTACATAGAAAAATAACCAACACTACATCTGTTCCCCCCGCCGCTCCCCACCATGAACAAAGGGGGGCTGCTTTAAGCTTTTCTCCTAATTCCTGCCTCAACGTATTAATATTAAATATTAATGAAACACTAAATATCAGTCACCCAATCCACAGTGACATCCTAAAGTATCTTTCCAATTTAGTATATAAATCTGTCATAAATAGTAGCAAGGTTTAACTTTGCAATTAATACCCATAGCATTTGATATCAGAACCTAGTAAGGAAATTACTTTGAAGGAATTTAATACAAGGGGAAATGTCTCAATATATGCAATTTTGCTACTTATACAAACTCTACACTTAAAACATGTTTGCATTCTTAAGTGTTCATAGTATCTCCCCAAAGTAGTCTTCTACATTCTATCTTAAACTTAATATGGATGATGTAAGACTTTCCATGGATATAAACTAGATAATTTTTAATTATACTTCAGATTCTACTCTCTGAGGGAATCCTAAAAAAATACTAAATGCCGTCTAGTTAGGTATATGCCATACACTGAGCAGCTGTGAAAAACAGAGTAAGCCAGAAATACTAAGGCCCCAAATAAACAGTATTCTATATAATATTCTATATAATAAAAGTCTGATATGCTAAGGGTCCGACCATTCAACCAGTTGCTATGACACACACTGACCACCAGAGGGCATACACTCTGACCAGTAGGTTAGCTTGCTGCTGGGGTCCGGCCGATCGAGACTAGGCGAGACGGGCCAGACATGCCCTGGAACTCTCCTGTGGTCCCTCCCCGGCTGCAACCTCCCGCAGTCCCTCCCTGGCCAACCAGCTCCAATTGGGACTGGGCTAGATGGGCCCAACACGCCCTGGAGTACTCTTGTGGTCCCTCTCCGGCCCCAATCGTGCACCGGTGGGGTCCCTCGGCCTAGCCTGTGCCCTCTCGCAATCCGGGACCCCTCGGGGGATGTCAGAGAGCCTGTTTCAGCCCGATACCCACAGGCCAGGTCGAGGGACCGTACCGGTGCACGAATCTGTGCACCGGGCCTCTAGTATATTACATATTAGCCAATTCAGTTTCTAACCTCTGAATATAAAAAATCTTATCCTCCCAAATTTTTTTTCTTCCATATTCTCCTCACTTAATTCTTAAGGAGCAATGCAAACAACCAGATCAAGATGGCAGACAGTAAGCAAAGGAGTTTGCCTGTCCTCTATCCCACTATCCCACCAAATTGACTAAAATTTAAAAAAAGAATTAAAAAATAGCATAATCATGGCAGCACTGAAAACAGTACAAATGTTTATCTGTTTCTGGAAGAGGGAAAGCAAATGGGATCATATTAATAGTGATTTAATCTAAGTAGAAAAAATACACATTGAGAGGTTCTATCAAATTTGGAGGCCGTTCTATTTGGCCAAGGATCCTCAGTTTAGCAAGCAAGAGCAGATGTTCCCTTTTTATGTGGAGCAGATACAGCATTAACCCTACCAGGGCCCAAGACCCAGCCTCTAAGCAGAATGGAGGGTGTGCATCTGGAGGACCCCTGAGTTGGCTGCTGGGACCAGGAATAGATGCAGAACTGAGCCTGCAGGCACTTGAGACCTCCACAGCAAACCTAGAACAATTTAAATACACCAAAGGACTCCACCTGATAAGGGCAAGATGGCAAGCACTGCAGGGGTCTTCCTGTGAGCAGGTTCTGCCCGCTTGCAGTCTGCAATGACTCCCCAATAGAGAGAAGCACTTGAAAAACAAACATGCACAGTTGCAAATGACTTCCCTCTTTCATTTCACCAATCCATTAGCAAATCCTCAATCAGCTTCCCTTCCAACAGACTGTTACTACTACTCACCATTTCCAAGTTACCACTGTGAAGAAGTCCATCATTAACACACTGGAATAGCTGTAACAGCTTCATAACAGCTCTCCTCGGCTTCCCTCCCTATTTCCCCTAAAAGTCTACACTTAAGATTATATCACACCTCCAATATAAATAGGCCCCATGGAACACCAACTTTCTCACCCTGGGTATCATACAAAACAAACAAGGTAGGGGTACAGGGGAGAGCTGCACTTTCAACAAAACAATTCACACTGTGCACGGACTACAAATATTACCTAATATCAGCCATAAATCTATAATGAGAGGGGGAAGCAAATAGTGAGAAAGGCCCAATGGCAAGAGATCACAGAAAAAGCCAGCAAAGTACACTTTTTCTGAGTATGGGCTCACCCTGAGTGACAACCTGTATCCTTGCATATTACAAGAACCATGAAATCGAAAGCCGACTGAGTGAAGATAAAGCAGAGGCCTTACTAAGGAGAAGATGGGCAAAGAAGGAACTGCAATGAGGGAGAATAGCAGATAGCCCTGGGCAGCACATGTCAGGAAACTCAGCAACTATGTGCTCTCTGAAGGTGAGGGGCTCACCCTGAAGTGCAAAAGATATGCCCCTTTGATGTAGCAAAGGAAGTGGGCAGAGGGGCAGCAGGACTGGCAGCAGACGACCTCCTGGACACGGTTTGGTTCAGAGAAGCAGAGAGGGCATGGATAACAGAAAGGCCATTTTAGCAGGAAGCAGAATGTCTGTGGAAACAGTGAAGCAGAGAGTATTGCAATTAAGTACAGAAGGCTGCCCTGTCCCCAACACCCCCTTACACACATACCCGCAAAGGACTTTCCCACAGATAGATAGAAAAGGGCAATGTAACTCGTTTTGTGATGGGTAATATTTTTTTAGCATCAATTCACAGATATTTAATTTTTAAATTAAAACAGGAAAAGAACACTGAAACTTACCTGATGAACACACATCAGGACAACAGCCAAAGAATACATGAAAATTCTGAGCAAATATTGACATGAATATTTAAATTTTAATTCAATCACCCCTAATAAGGATAATTAAATCACTAAGCAGAACAGGAGCTCAGTAAGAGAGAATGAGACAAGGGGGAGATAAAAATATGAGTAGTCAACACTCAAGAAAAATAAATACAATAAAAACTCTCAGAGAAGTGAAGACAAAATGAGAAGGAGCACAAGGGAGAAGCATATGAGGAAAAACTAAGGATCCAACAAAATGAAATGGAAATAATGAGTTCAAAATGACTACAGATAACAAGCAAAGAGTAATCTTTGAAGCAGAAAACTAATAGAACAAAATTCAGATAAAATTTAAGACAACTTTTCTAAAATGAAAGATAAACCTATATAATTCAAAGGGCACACTAGGTACCGGGGCAAACAGGATGAGAATGATCAACATTAAGATAATATCCTAGGATAAGTAACACACTTGAAAGATAAGGGCTTTTTGGGTGGCCAGACCAAAACCAAAATCCTGGCCCCAGATTTTCCATAGCAATATTCAGTGCCCAGAAAGAATATAATAGTAACTAGAATATACAGAAAATTTGTGAACCAAGAATATTCTTATCTAGCCAAGCCATCCTTCAAGTACAAAAGGTACAAACAGCTTTGAACATAGAAGAAATTAGGAAAAAAATTTCCCAGGAGCCCCTCAAGGAAACTACTATGGGATGAATTCACCAAGAAGAGTCTAGAGAAATCATAGCCAAGGAGGGATGGCACACATTAAATATATTTAATATAGAACCGAGACTGAAACAAAACAGAAGTTCAGTGCTAGGGAAGAATGCATGCCCCGACAAGGCAGGAGGGATACAGCTAACAGAAGATGGGAGAATT